TAGGCCCTGTCCCAAATGACTTCACATATTTTGAAGATCCTTCATGGAAGGCCTCAACCTCTCTGGGGAGTAGATGTGGGATGGGATGGGGTGTCAGTGGGGAGGAGAGGAGAATGGGAGGGAGAGGGAACTTGGGTTGAAATGTAAAATAACATCATTTCTAATCTAAATTATCAATAAAGTCCTAAAAAGACTTATCAATAAAGTCCATACTAATATTAAAATGAGTTAAGACACATTTAACTCTCTCTATTTGTATTTCTGCAACCTTATATCCATGGCAGGAATCAATATCTCTGCATATTTTCCATCCTATAAAGAAAAATTCAAGAAAAAATTAGATAATATGAAATATTCGATATTAAATTGAAATGTGTATTAATACTATGCAATGCGTTAAAAGATTCAAAGTAATCAAAAAGGGATAAATTTGAAACTCAGTGTATTATCATATAATATGTTCATATAGTATATATTTGAACAAATGAACTAAAGGAGAACTGGCTTGAAATGGTACTCATGTTTAGGTGGATTATGCAAACAATCAAATTTTCCACAAGAGAAACTTAGGTGCTTGGAATTGAAGTGTCTTCATTATTTTGAATAAGGGGTGGAGATGACTCCTCTGCTTAGCTCTTCTTTGCATTTCTGATAGAATTCTGCATAGAAAACATGTGGCCCTCAAATGACGTTTTTTGGTTTAGAGATTGTGATGATTGCTTCTATTGCATTGGGGGTTATAGGTCTATTTAATTGCTTATCTGTTCTTGATTTAATATGGTAAGTGATATCTATCCTGAAAATTGTCCATTTATTTAAATTTTCTGATTTTGTTCAGTAGTGGTTTTCAAAGTATGACATGATTATTCTCTGCATTTCCTCGGTGTCCACTGTTATGCCCCCCTTTCAATTCTGATGTTGTTAAATTACATGTTCTCACTCTGGCTTTTAGTTAGTTTGGATAAAGGTTTGTCTCTGTGACTGATTTCCTCAACTAACCAACTCTTTCTTCTTCAATAATTCATTGTATGGTTTTCTTTGTTTCTAGTTGGTTGATTTTAGCCATAAATTCAATTAACTGGCATCTACTCCCTTGTGTGGGTTTGATTATTTTTGTTCCAGAGTTTTGTAAAGTCACTTGTGTGGGAGTTCTCCATTTCCTTTATGCAGGAACTTATTGCTATGAACTTTACTCTTAGCACTGGTTTAAATGTATTCCATAAGTTTTGGTATGTTGTAGATTTGTTTCCATTGAGTTCTAGAAAGTTGTTGTTCATTTCTTTCTTTATTTCTTCCTTGACCATGGGTGATGCACATGAACACTGTTCACTTTCATTCAGTTTTCAGACCTTCTTCACATTGTGTTCTTGTTGAATTCTAACTTTAAACAACGTAGATCCCATAAGATACACAGTGTTTTTCCAATTTTATTTTGTCTCTTGAGGGTTCCTTTGTTGCTGACTTATTGGCTAATTTAAGAGACAGTTCCATGTGGCAGGCAGAAGAACTTACATGAGTCATATCCAATTTGCTTTATCTCTCTGTTACCATTTTGTCTGTTAGTCGGGTTCAGTGGGGAGAGTGGGGTGTTAAAGTCTTCCACTATTAGTGTGTGTGGTTTAATGTGTTATTTGTTTTAGTAATGTTTCTTTTACAAATGTGTGTACCTTTGTATTTGGGGCATACATGTTCACAATTAAGCCTTTGTTTTGATGGATTTTTCCTGTTATTAATATGAAATGACCTTCTTCATCTCTTTTGGTTAAATTTCATTTGAAGTCTAATATATTCATTATTAGAGTAGCTACACAAGCTTGTTTATTAGGTCCATTTGGCTGGAAAATCTTTTCTCAACTCTTTCCTCGGAGGTACTGTCTCTCTTTGAAGTTGAATTGTGTTACTTTTTTTAAAAAATATTTTATTTATTTACTATGTATACAACATTCTGCTTCCATGTATATCTGCACATCAGAAGAGGGTACCAGACCTCATAAATGATGGATGTGAGCCACCATGTGGTTGCTGTGAATTGAACTTAGGACCTG